AAGTCGAAGGCCAAGCTTGCTCAGGTTGCAGATGGGGCCGAGAATGCAAAGAAAGGCAAAAAAAACGCGGCGTGGCCTGGAAGACCTGCTTGCTGAGTATGCGGCGGAAGAAAAGCTGGAAATTGAAATACACCGTAACAGATCTCTTGGAGAGGCTCGGTGATTTGATCCGGATCATGAGGAAGTCATGCAGCCGGGGCGTGGCAAAATAAATGCCCTTCGGCCATTTCCTCGAAGGAACGTTTCGCCCGGAAAGATCTGTGCCTTGACTCAGCTTTCAGGTCCCGCTGCTGGCATAGCCGCTCCAAGCAGAGATTCCGTTCGTGCAACAACAGCAGGACGAACAAAAATCCTCGCTTGGGAGTCATCCGCCGAGCTGCGACTGCAATGCGTTTGACGAACACAAACGCTTCCTCTGCTGAACTTGTGTTGAACTTGTGACAGGCATGGGTGCTTGGCCAAACAGCAGGAAGAGGCCTGCTGCCAGTCGATCGGCAACCTGTGTGCCCCGAACGAAAGTGAAATTTATCGATCGTCAAATGCAAGGCCCGCATAGCGCGACTTAACTTGGTGCGGTTGACGCGTTTCTTGTGGCGAATGAAACGATACAATGTGCAGGCGCAGTCGTAGACGACAAGTGGGAAGCAGCTGCGTACGAAACGGCGGCGAGCTTTGCTGTCCAGCCGGGACAAAACGACATGCTTAATTCGGGCCATATATGCCAGCAGCTCCGCGAGAAAAAAATACACACCCGTCGGAGATTCGTGGGTGTAGAGCAGTTTGACTGCAGCGATGATTTGACAAGGCCGCACTGCACAAAGCAACCCTCCGGAACGCCGTTGCTTTGTTGCACTTGTCCAATGGGCGCGACAACTAGCTTTCTGCTCAGCTGCTGTGAAAGTCACCTTGTCACCGACCCGAGGGCGGAGCTGACACTCTCGGACACAACTTGGTTGAAGAAAGTGTGCGTGCTGCTCCTGAAACCGAAATGGAACATCTTTGCTGCAGAGCGTGAAGGTATTGCCTGCAGGTGTGAGAAAGGTGTACTGGCGTGTGCGTGCGATCCTCTTCACTTGCTGGAGACGCACGGGGTAGGATCCATGGGCATGACCCATTGCGAAGTGCAGCGCGCGACTAACACGTCGGCAAGAACACCTTAGAGCAGAACAAATTGTGCAGGGCCCAGCAGCATGCAAGGTCTCGAAATCTTGCGCCGGGCACAAAAAGCAGAGGAAGGCATAGCAGAATAAGTCGGGTCCGAATATGGGTTCTGCATCCCGTTGGTGGATAGCACAGAAACGGGAGCCACGTAGAGGCGGGTGGGTGCAGCCAGTCAAGCAATGACTTTTTAATGGCTTACAATTCCAAACCCCTGCGTCGGTGTTGGCACAAAGCCTGGTACGGACTTTGGCGTTCCCGTCGATGATGATCTGCTTTCCAACGCACTTACTGCAGCAGTGGTCAACTAACCAGCGACGCTGAAACTTCGTGGAAG